AAATTTTATTCACTAAGGAAATAACTAATGAATAAAAAAGTCCACAAAACATTTTAAGTTTACTTTTTATGATGAGTAATTTTCATAATAGTGAAGAAGTGAAGAAATACATCTTAGACTGAAGAACCCAACTACATTACTCTATCCGAATTCTCCTCTCTTGCTAATAATAATCTCTGAATTTAATGCGACATTGTTATCATTAACTGTTCAATTAAGTTAGCCTCCCTCTACTACAGTACTTTCGCTATACTATATATTAAGAGATCTAGCTAAATATATTTTCTAAAATAGTTCATTTCCTTCAAACACAAAGTGTTTCCAACATCAAATTTACTCGGATGGATCATGTTTGAAAAAAGAAAAAACGGTATCCATACTGGACATACAGATCATTTCTCTATACTTACTCTGATCAGTTTTGCGATTTGAAATGGTGTCAAACGTCTTTTCACACGTTGCACTTTGTCAGATAATCGCAATAGCTCCATCGGAAAGTAGTCTTTCCTTTTAAGTGTGCCACAGTGTACTACCGGAAGGTTGGGAAATTTCAAACGTATATCTAAACTGCAGAATTTGAGACAATTAATGAAGAAATAAGAAAAGCACCACTACGACTGAGTAATGTAAAATAACTTCAAAAATTAATCTAGATATAAAGTTATCCCACCTAGATCTTACCAAAATATGAAGTTTTAAAAAACATAAGCTACTTTTATAGCGATTGAAATATTCTTCGACAGTCAATTCCTCTACAAAATCTTCACTCCGCTTCATTCGAAATCTGAAATGAAGTAGTCCTCCCTCTTCACAAAAAAAAAACTAAAAAAAATGCAAAAATGCAAAATCCTGAATTATTTCTTTACGAACATATATGAAAGGATGGATGAGGAATAAAATGCATAACAAAACTGAGATAAATCAACCTTTGTGTTCGTGCAGGTAACCCAACATCAATAAACTTGACATGTCTGTTATCATACGTCAGTTTCAGCGTTAAACCTAAAAATTTTTTTGTTCTCACAAAGCCTAGAGACATCAGTTACAATAAAACAATTGGTAATTCAAACATTTAGCAAAGTAGGAATCTTTAATTCATTCATCATGAAGCTAAGTGCAACACCAAGACAACATCACAGCTAATTTCCAAAAAATCGTTTAACACGAATTAAACCTCCACCTATTATACCCTATGTTATAGGAAAAAACGGCTATAAATTGATGGTAATGATGGCTTGAAGTTAACCGCAACTAACGAGGAAAACCTAGTGAACACGTGACTCTAAATTTTCCCTGAAAAAAAAAAAATGTTTGAAAAGTAAACACATCCAAATAAAGTCAAAATTTACCTTTCATTGCATCACTCAACTGCTGCCTTTGATTGGCAGAAAGTGCAAACGTCTCACTTATTGTATCGATGTCGTATGGTCTTCTTCGTCCCACAAATTCATTTAAGACATCCAAATAGAAATCAATTAACCAAATGTCGATTTTATAAAATACTTTTGTGGACACTGAAATGATCAATACATAATTATAAATGCATCTGCAAATCAAAATTTATCTTTAATTTATTATAAATGCATCTGCAAATCAAAATTTATCCAGTAAGCACTCTTTATTATTACAAACAATTCAATACCACTATAATGCTTGTGTTCATTGAATTGTCTAAAAAAGATCAAATACTCACTGACCATCTACATTTAACATGAGTCCTTTTTCACAGCGTTTTACAGCACCGTATAATCCAGTCCATGCTTCCATCCCAGGACCCATATTTAGAACTTGATATGGAATACTTTCACATGGCTTCATATACATACATTGATTAAATGGATAAAAACTTGAAGCCATACTCCTGAATTTATATAAAACAAATCACAACCAATATAGAAGTTGTAGCTTCTATTGCAAGACAAGTTGCACACCAAAAATGCAACAGATGAAGTAGAAATTTAATAGTTGAAATTTTAAAGAGACATCTACTGTGTATAAGTAAATATAACAAACAGGGGAAGACTCACATACAAGGACAGCGCACTTGTTGACTGACCAAACAATCTAAAAACTGCATACTTGCCCGGAAATTCGGTAACTGCTCATCGATAGTGACAGTAAAATAATTAGTGGCCGATATAGAGAGCAAAAATGATACAGAAGGTGGCTGGAAAGCATCAAATTTTTAAATCAGCGGATGATATAAAAAAAAAAGAAATGCACGTACAGCAGCAAAAAAATAAAGTCAAGGTACGAACGTCTTACATTTTACATGTCTATAGTTAAAGAATACAAATAGTTCTGCAACTTTCAGACTTCCAAAATTAATACGAAGTGCATACTTTCAAACAAGGTACTGGTTCTACGAATAATTGAAGTTCCAACGTTGGCTTTTCAGTCTTCAGCTTCTTAAGCGAGTAGAGTGTGTGACAATCATCATATACCAGAGAGTACCCAGTGCCAAATATTTCCTCATTATTTGAAATGACTTTCCAAAATATTTCACGACAAATATCCCTATAACATTCAAGATTTTCTACTTTGTAAGAAATGATAAGATGTGAAAAAGGCACCTTCCATCAATTTACATTATGTTCTGCCTAATACTTTCATTTTCAAATGATTTATAAAAGTTAATTCGATGAAGACAGCAAAGATGTCCAATATTAATCTTCAAATTTTCGAACGAAGAGCAAATATAGGTGGTGCATTCTAACAAAAGTGATTTTGCTGCTGAATGTGAAACATTAACTGAAACAATTTTTTAATGTAGTGCTACAACGTAAGTCAGGAAAGAAAATTATATAACGAACAATTCCGTTAAATGAAAATCAATTAAAAAAAAATTAACTTAAATACCTGTTTTCCACCACAAGTCTGCCATTCTTAGTTATTTTCAAAACATCCACATGGTAGCAATAAATTTGCAGAGAAGGAGGTACTTGCATCAACTTGAAATTAGCCATTAGTTGAATAGACTCACCCAATTTCCCATGGTTTGGTCTAAGCGCCAACTCTTTGATTCGTTCGTGCTAAACTTTCAACTATCTTTACACCCAAACAAATTAAGACGACCAGCAACAATTTCTCCTGTTCTCCTTCATGTATCTTTATATAATGAAAAAAAGAAAAAAAAAACTTTCATTGCAATCTAAATCTCATTAAAAAGTAAAATTAAAGAATACCTGTTCGCCATGTTTCTGCCCAACTTTAACGGATCCACTACTAAAAGTAGCAAATTCCAGTTTTTTGCCGCGTCCATATCCTTTTCCCACTAGAAAACACACCGTTCAATCTACTAGTAAATGTTGCAAATGCACTGACCGACATAATAATGAATAATAAACAAATAAAATAGAATATGTACACGATTTCTACTGCACTGTGGCGTGAAATTATATAACTACCCGAAATGGCTTATTTTTATGGCTGATATTCATTTTAAGATGTTGTCAGTTAGAGATTATGCTGATAATGAATATATAACCTCATAATGTGATTAACATAGTTATCATCCAGTAGACATAAGAGACGTGTAAAATTTACCTTAAAAAGGATAAGAAATAGATGTAAACCTGTGGTGCTAGCGGTGGCTTCGCTTTCAGGTGAGCTTTCTTTCCTTCTTCCTCTTCCTCTTCCTTTCATAACAGTATTATCTATCAGAAAAATCAAATAATACTGGAAAACAGAAGTACACACAGTGAGGAAAGTTCGAAGAAATTCTTCCCATAATGAAAGAGATCGACATTCTTCCCTTAATAAAACACCTACCTTTCTACCCAGTCAAAGCCGAGTCTCAAACTTCCCCTCCTCTTCCCATCTACCAAAACTACCTCCTCTGGTGTTATTGAGACTACCAATTCATGCTACATGGATTGTTTCCCTTTCCCCTCTCTGCTCTGGTCCTGTTTCTATCTCTCCATCTCTCTCTTTCTCTCGAGATATCTTCTGAAGCCATAACGCCTCCACTCTGGCCATTCTTCTTATCTGACATATTTTCTTGCTTCTTCAATAAATGACCTGAAGGAATGAATTAAAGGTTCACCATGAAGTACCAGCCTTACTAGGCCTGGCTATATCCATTCCTGAATGCAACCATTATTCTATATTGATGTTTGCTGTGGAACATTTGCACCGGAAAGCTTTCAGGAAACTTCAAATATTTCTCAAGAGCTTACTTATCTTTACAGTTTCAGGGTAGTATTCAGTTGAATTAGATATTAGTGTTCCAACAAGTAGTGTTCCCATGGTCTGAGATATAGAAGATTTCTTCGTGCTATTTTTTGGACCTCTTTTTCAGTAAGCATTTTAAATTGAAATTTTATTTTCTAGATGGAATGAGAATTTGAATTACACAATTTCAAAAGAATTAAAAAACTATAATTTTATTTCGAAACTGAAACTAATGTACGGTTACACATAATTATATAAGTGAAAAGGAACGAGTTTGTCTCTAATTTTATTCTCGTTGACACATCTTCGCTACCGAATATTTCTACGTACCTTCTTGAAAGCTACTATGAAAATATTTGCAATAAGAAAAGTAATTTATTATAAGGATTATATTATTATTAAATAAATCAGTCTGTGTTGTTGGACAAACTTCTATTTCTCTTACGTTTCCCGTCAGAATACAGTGATTGTCTGAAAACTTAATTAAGAAATTGTGAAACTGTAATTTTTGGAAATCAATCATCTTTTTAGGAGGATTGGAAAAAAATGGTAAAAAAAAGAAAATGAGGGACAGAGAGATTAAAGAAATCACATGGCGCTACTTGATTTTCAGCATTTCAGCAATATTGTAAGGATGACACCGTAATCCATAAGTCATGTTTGATATTCAAATCTATCCATTTTCTTATTTTCTTTACAAAAAATGCTAATGGAAGGAATGCAAGTTAATTCATCTATAAAAGCAAAAAGTGCTGCATTGATATTCATTGTTTGCATCAGATTACTCGTCTACGGTTTAAACTGTGTTCGATCGTTTTCCTGAAGAGATGACAAGGGAATTTGAGGATACTTGGGCGTATAATACAATTGGTTCACCATTTCCAGATAATCCTGTTAGAGTCAAAGGTCAACAGAATATGTATGTTGCATTGTGGTACAAATTTGGAAAACCGATTCATGGACGAGCTTGGAACAATAATGGAAATGTGGAATGTTCATTCCCGTATAGTAAGGTTTGCGTATTTTATGATTAATCCCTAGGAAGCAGAAGAATTGAAATGATATTCAATAGGATTTAGCTTGGACTTCTTTGAATTTTTCGCAGAACTGACTAATTATAAAGGAACTGATTAATTTTCAAAAGCCATATGAAGAAACTTGCAGGGGTATTAAGTTTTTTTCCGCAAGAGAATGTCCAAATTGAAATTGAATTTGGCAGGTGGAATTAACGGGTGCTCGTGATTTGGGTGGGCAAATTCAAATCCTGACATGTAGTGAACAAGATCCTGTGGAACAATTCAAAAAAAGTGGTTTTTGGTATGAATGGCGCCCATACAAAGATCGTGAGAACGATCAGTTGCTGCAATTAGTACGATGCGGTCAGTCAACTCCAGTTTTGATGCCTACGAAGGACGGGAATACTTTTCTTGGATATATCGACATGGGCAAAGATGTCGCAAATGTTGGTTACAAGGGTAAGAATGAAACACTTGCAGGCGGCGAAATCCAGGTAACATCATAAACATATGAAAAATTCATATCATCACATTGTGCAAATTATAGTTAGGTGTATCCAGTCCCAATGACCTTTTATTATAAGGGACAAAAAAGACAGCAATTTGCGTTGTCGTAAATTATTTCATCAGATCCTGGTTTTTCCGATGACCTTTATTGATAGTATATGCTTGTTGGTCCTATTTTGCAGAATTTGTTGGTCCTATTTCGAAATATTAAAGCTCCGCCAACTGGTATTAAGATTTATGAAGACACTTGGATTGATCTCAAGTACCGTGATCCATTTCCGACAGCGAAGAATCCGATTCCTGTAAGTTAAATGAAGCGACTCCTTATTGCTCGTTCTTTTTCCCAGTCTTCTGTTAATTTTTATAACAAAAATTCAATTATTATCGTTCAGGGTGGCGGTCGTAAATTGAAAAACGATGATGGCTCAGAGACATATAGCTATGTAGCGCTGTGGTACAAGCATGGTGAACCGGTGTTCGGACGAGCTTATCCGGATCCTGCCGGGAAAACATTGGCGAGTTTTGGTTGGAATGGCCAAGAAAATGCAGGCGCAGAACTCGGGTCTATGCAAATGATCGTTATCCCGCAGCCCGAAAATGTTAGAGCTGTGAATATCCAAAAAAGAACTCAAATTAGATAATCAATGTTGAATCTTACCGGGAACATGCCTAATTTCATTTTAATTTTCGACACGATTGTACAGAAAAATAAAATTAATTTCAAAAGTTATGGATTAGGCGGTTGATGATATATACCGGAGTAACTTAATTACAGCTTGGTTTCGAATACAAATGGATGTCATACAAAGAAGTCAAGGGTGGCGCTGGTGCCTTTAAACCCTTGCATGTTGGTGATTGCGTACCGTGTGTGCTGAAAACGGCAAAGGGCGCTGAACTACTCGGAAATTTGCATATGAAGATGGAAAAAGCAACAGCTGGCTTCGGTGGCAAGGATTCAGCGGTAGTTGGACCAGCTGTTATGAATTTCCTTGTACTTTGTCGAAACGGGCACAAATGAAGGGAAGTCCTTTCAAAAGAGATTTAGTACTATTACTAGGCTGTGAAATGATAAAGTGATATCTTGATCTTCGGACTGAAAACACCCTTTGTCATTTATCACTCTTACTGCTAATTCTGGGCACAATAAATTAACTGGATGATGCTAACAAAAACCTTACTCAGATTATAGCTTTCATCAAAGTAACATCGAAATTAGTATCTGTCATAATCGAACTGACACTGATAATATGTCCAAATGGATCTTCCTAGTTTGATGTTGAAATGCTCCATTTTTGATGTGAAAAGCATTCTTTAAAAACTTTATTTACATGAAATGAGGCAATAAAATTTCCATATGAACTATTTTAAAAATAACAAGTTTTCTCCCAAATTAAAAAACTGTTATCTTCCGAATTTTGATAAAAACGATACAAAAGAAATTTTATTTTAAAGGATTAATTCCTATAATTTGGACAGATGTTTAATTTTTTATGAGTATCAAAGCTGATCGGCCTCTCCGTATTTTTCTTATCCTTCTGCTATGGAAGAGATCCTTTGTCAATGATCTTTGCCTATCAGTACGATCACATTTCAAACTTATTTCTGAACAGTTTAGGCTAAGATTCTTTTTTATTTTGCGGGTAAAGAATTTTTTTTGTAGATTTTTTTAGACGAGTTAAATAATTTCAACATTTTAAACCACATTTTTTTGCATTCACTGATGGCGATTAATGTTTTAACCCTAAACGAATAGTCATGCCATATCAGTCTAAGGTTTCCAAAATTTACATAGATGTTCAGTGATTATTTCCAATTTTTTAAATACATTTTATTACTGACACTCGACAGCCAAATATAAAATAGAATGGTCTCTAAAGTATCTTTCACTTATCATTTCTGTAATTCAAACTACAAACGCTAGCTTCTGAAATCTTTAAATTTCCTTAGCTAATTATTGATCTCTTATTTAACTAATATTCTAGTCATTAAATTTCCTAAAAAAAATGGGTAAAATAGCATCGATGTTTATCTTTCTTTTTCCCTCCTTTCATATTCAGTTATTTTTCCTCAAGTAATTATTCTTGCAGAAGACTAAAATTATCCTTTAGGGAAAAGAATGGCAGCCCTGAAAACTAACCAAACTCGAATCAATCACTGTGTAAAAAGAATTTTTATAAATTTTATATAATGCGAAGAAAGGAACAATATTAAGAAAACAGCAAAAATCTGCTTCGGGCGCTGCTTACGAGAAATTTTAATTCATATTATTCGTTTTGATTAATACTAATGGCCCGAGAACATATAAAATTACTTCTGCCGACTTCTGGAAGTATTTTTCTGAGGCAATAACTTTTTGTTAAACGTAGCGATTAGTACTGCGGTTTATAACAAGTCTAGACACTTTCAAATTTCGCCACCATTTTTGTACAAATGAATAAGACGTTGTAGTTCAGCTCGTTGATCAACGCCTTGAAAGACATAAGGTGCAGAAAACAATATACCGCAGGTACCACCAACTGTAATACCGAAGAATACGTATAGCAATAGTCTGTCGATGATCATTGCCACATATTTCCAGTCATCGCGATACTATAATTGTTTTTAATCTGTATTACCATGTTAATCAGAAAGAGGCCATGTTTTTATTGCTAATAGAAAGATACTTTTATCTTTCTGTAAACAGCATTACCGCTGTGCTAGATGAATAGATTAGAGGTCAGCAGAAAATTTCATTAAGATCAGAAGTGTGTGGTCATTGTGTATTCCATAATGCCACAGTGACTCCTTGTGCTGGTGATTCTTCTAATCAGACTGCTTTCTCTACCTGCCGGTGATGATATGAATGTCTATCTGCCAAATTAACAAACAATTAATCTGACCATTTTATATTCCTCATCCTGCTTCAAATGATTTGTTATATATTCGATGGCATCAATGGCACGTAAAGCGTCTGGACTGAGTGGATAGTAAGCACTTGTAGATGGGTCTCTTTCCAACTGCTCTATACTGTCAACATGAGTTAATTCTATTGCTGGCGGCTGTCTGAATGAGATAAAACATTTTAAGCGCAAATGACAAATAAGAGCATAAATAATAAGTCATTAATGCGTACCTAATATCAGTATCAGCAGATGGACATAATGGATGATGTATGGATGGATTCAGTTTCAATTCACTGATATCAGGAAATGCGGCGGTAATTGGATGTCCATTCTTTTGAGTAAAGTTACGCAATAACGGTTTTGGTCTTTGCATACACAGCAATTTAGGCATTATCTAAAGAGAGTAATAAATTATAATCACTCAATAATTAGCTGATTTTGTGCGCTATACCGACAAATCAATTCTTTTCCTTTCAAGTAATTTACGTAAAGCTTAATTTAACTCACTTTAGAGCACTTAAAACTTTAATTTATATAAAATAAACCCTATAAAACTTTAATTTTAATAAAATCTATTATTCTGCAGACAAAAAAGAAAACAACTTTTCAACTGCTAAAATTATAGTAACCAAACAAATAATTGCATAAATCGTCTTTTTTTTTTTATTTAAAATTATTCAGACAATAATTTTTATATGTTTAATGGAAATTCCGACATGCTTTATAATATCTTCGACAATAAATTATAAACTAAAAAAATTCTGAAAATGATCAAAGGGATTAGACTGAATTGAAAAATTAATATAATGAATAGTGCAAAGTGTTTACCTGCAAAAAAACAGTTCGTACCCATTTAGGCATCCGATGAGTGGTTGGACCACGAAAATAAACGTTAATTATAATAACAGTGACAAGTATAGTAATAACATTGAGCACGAAAGTGAGCAGTAAATACTTGGCCATTAGTGGGATTGTGGATGAGGTCGGCGGTAAAATTTTGGAGACAAGCAATAGAAAAACAACTATTGAAAGTAATACTGATATAGTAAGTGTCATTTTCTCGCCTAAAATTGTACTTTTTGGGGATATTTGCAAAAGATGATATAATAGGCTTTATAAAGAAATATGTGCCAAACAAATTACTACCTGTTGTGTTTTTAATTAGAATCGCTTTTTACTTTTTAAGCAGAAATAAATAAGTGAGAAAACCTGAGTCAGTTGGAAGAAAGAACACAGCCATACTTAAAAATGCCATTAATACAGTTGGAATGATCAGCACAACAGTATAAAATAGAGTCTTCCTCCTGGAAAACACGTACACCAAAAACTCTACAAATTTGTGGTGGTATAAAATTTTGCCAAAACTTTTTTAGCTTCTTAAATCTAAAAAATATTGAGACAGCTTCAAAGTTATTGTTTCACTTCATCTAATAATTGCTTGTTTCTTTTTTATTTTGATCAAAAATCAAATCAAACAAATTTGCTCATCAGCTGGAAATAATTTATATAAAAATACTTTTTAGAAGTTTGGTAAAACAATACAACAATATGATAAAAATGATAATAAATAACGGAACAAATAACATGAACAGCATATTTAATGAGTAGTAAACAAAAGGAAAAAAGACTAAATTACCATAATTTAAGCTATTTTATATTTTAACTTATATTTTACCTTATCCTAACTTGAAATTCGATGCGTGAACGCTTATTGACTAAAACGGCAGGCGCATCCATAACATCCCAAATTGAACTTGGCGCATATTCAGATAAGTCGACCCATTCCGCTTGCTCGAATTCAAGCTTTATCTCATTTTCATTGTACTACAGATTGTTTACATATAAATCGAAAGTCTCCAGCCAGAAAGATTAGGCTAATCCTAATCTTTTCATTTTTATCAAATATATTTTTAAAATGTTTTATCTTATTTTTTTGTTGACTATCATTCTATAGAAAGCAGTAAGGTTTAAGGCCTAGGAATTAGCTTTTTTACGCTTAAAAATTTAAAAAATTGCTGATATTCTACTTAAACGATAAGCCATGTGAAAAGTAAAGCCTTCGGTGGCTAATATGTTATTAAATGTTTATCAACTATCAGTCAAAGTCTTAAAAAGTCCTTAAAGCTTCAGGAGAGGTCAATTCGATAAAATTTGAATTCTGAATAAGGTAAAAATGAAAATGAAATATTAAAAGTGTATAAAAGCTTACCGTCCATGATCCAAAAATCAAATGACATGTTTGCTCATCGAACGGGAAGAATTCAACATCAATGATACAAGAACTTTTGTAGATGGCTGGTGGTACCCATAGCATTTCACCTTTGTAATTGATCACAACATTACACATAAATGATACTTCATAATTTCCATCAGCGCTGCAATATCACTGCCATATTTTTCATTAAGTATCGAAATATTATCTTTTTGTATAAAAGGTTAGAACAGAAAGGAATTAACAGTCTTATTTAGGGTTCTTTCAGGTCTTATTTTTTTTTTTTTTTGTCTTGAGAGTAACTTTGTACATCTAATAATTCAGAAGAAAAAACATTTTAAATTTTTTAAGATTTATTAAATAACTACATCTATACGGTGTAGCTTTCTTATTCACCATATAACTTACTTATTGAATAAAACGATATCTGGCAGCCAAACTTTGTCCGGTGCAACTCGAATATTTTGAATTTCACCGTAGTCTACCGGATTCCAACGCATTTGAAAATCGTGCCACTTCTAAAATTTCTGATTATATGAAACTTTATTATTACGTACCATTTGCCTGCTACTATGCATTCGCTCTTAAGTAATCTAAATCTATCATCTTTAGGTTTTAGAATAGTTGTTTATTCGATTAAATATTTTTTTTTTTTTTAAAAGAGAATTATTGTCAACTTGAATCAAAAAATTTACAATTAAATGCTTAACTAACTTGAAAGATAACTGAAAATGATGCATTTAATAACTAACCAAAGTAAGCCAAACATTTGTGTGCATAATCTGATCTTTTTCATCCTGAATAAGGAATGTTATGGAATTTGAAAAGATAAAACATTCATTACTAATGAAATATAATTGGATCTATCTTACATGACAATATGACAGGTAGACAAGAGTATAAATAATGTTATTTTTTTTTTTGAGGAACCTTCCATCACATTGCATCATTTGTACTCTCTATAAATAGTTCTAATTTCGTTTTAAAAAATTCGCAAAAAAAATGGAACGTTGATTAAGAAATTTTCAAATCACAGAAACGAACAACATTAATCAGTAGAGCAAGCTGTAAAGCAATTTTAACAATGATCGGAGTTTCGTTCAAATTTCGAACTGGTTGAATGAGTGAATTATACCCTCGGAACACATCCACCATCAAACGTTCTTCTTCATCCGAACATATCACTACCAATCCTCAAATTAGCAATTAAATTGTTGTTTGTTTACACCAGAAAAACTATGATTTCCTTAGAGGTGGGAAATTAGTCATTGTCGTCTGACAAGATGACATTATCAAATCTTATCTAAATCAGCAATACGCAGACAGCGATCTTCAATAGGTAACATTTTTGGACTGCTTTACTTAGCCAAATACATGTAATTTCTTTGCTCGAGCTATTTAGGACTACAGATCTCGTTGATTTTTGCGCTCTTATCACAAGTAACATTTTATAGTCTAGGAAATTGTACTGATCAAGAGATAAGAGTCAAATAATACAGACGATTAAAGAAAACTGTATGCAGTCTTGATACTTACGTCATTTACGTGTTCCGCCTAATTTTCTTTAATGCTTTACTTGATACATGATTGCGTTGCATTCCTTTGCATTTAATACAGATTAGTATTGATTTGATTTCTGCATTACCTACTGGTTTCTTACAATGATAAGTTGGAATTCTCTATTTTGAAACAAGTATTAAATTTATTGGGTAAAACTGTCATCTCGCACTACACATCAAATTATCTCTGATTACTAATTATTATATTACCAGTGCATTTGTAGCGAGTTGCATAAGTAAAATCGGTGAGGAGATTCATTAAAAAATCAATGCCGGGAATTTGAAAACTTCCCAAAATAGCCAGGAATCAAAATATTTTAAACTCCGAAAGTTACGCTAAAGGTAAAGTTACAAGTAAGAAATTGTAAGTGAATTTTTTAAAAAATAGATAATGAAGAGTAATTTTACATAATATATTTATTTATTATTAAATATTTAATTATTACATGAATCGTCCTTAAAAATTATCAAATCTCCTGAACTCCTCTTGTCTCCTACTTGAATCATATCCGAAAATAATATAAGTAACAAACTTTGTTGAGTGATGAATAGTAGTACAATGTAGTAAGTGAGAAAATAAACAGTTGATGAATTCATTGCTTAATTGCATAATAGAATTGGGAATACCGTAACGGCATACTATTATTTGATAGTTTTTGATTGAACTCGATCATACAGCTTTACTGTCAGATATGCATTGCTACAACAGCAAGTATCTTCCAGCATTCTTATCAGAGAGGTATCATAGTCCTGCAACAGGAACTGAAATGCATTTTAATGGAAGTCAAATACTATACGATTTATGTAAGGTTAAGTTATAGCTGTAAACTGAACTGCCATTATTTTCTGATTTTCCCTTTCACATTATTAAATGATATCAAATGTATTTGTTATTGGAATCTTCCATATCATAAGGTTTAAGCAATGAGAAAAAGTTTACGCATCGGAATGTAAAATGGCAAAAGATAGTTGCATCTTCTGTCTTCCAAGAATGCTAAGTTAAATCTTAGCTGTTTCGAAGAAGCAACCGAACAATAAGCAAAAATTTTGGGTTGAACTATTGTTGAAGTGTAAATAAAGATTTTCTATAAAAACCAAAAACGCTTATTCATAATTGCTAAATTTTTTCATCCAACACCGCCCGCAATGTTTGTCATAATCGATACTCAATTATTTGCATCAACTGGGGAACGTTTCACTCAAAGTCACTAGTACTGTAAATCAGAAATTGTCCTTTCTGATCCGGAAAGTCAATAACCTATTTGTATTTGATTATATTTTGGTATTGACATAATGCGAGGAGAAAACTATATATAAATGCAACGTCTAAAAATTCAACAGCTTATTTTATTTCAATTTAAATAACTAATTCTGAACTTTAATTATCATTTTTTTTTTTTCAATATTTGCTTTTATTTATAATTTAAACACACTTCTAATGTTGCTTACTGATTCAAACTCAAATTCAAGGATAAATTTCTCTCTTTATTAAATTATTAAATGTGAAACAATTCTGTCTTTTGGAATATTAGCATTTGCATTGAGCGCATTTTGAATACCACTATTTTCAATATAATACATTTTGTCATGCTTCTTTATTATATCATTCGCTATGTTTATTAAATTTTGAAAGATTATTTTTGTGTCTAAATTAGTAAACTCTTTTAAATGAATGGACACTTTTTCATTTAAAATATTTAGCAAAAAAAAAAAAAGAAGAGCTTTGCAAATTGTTTTCCTACATTTCTTACAAAGTATGACATAAGAATTACAGAATGTATTGAATCAAGAAGAGAGACTTAAGCTTATTTTACTAATAATATCACTGGATTTTTAGACATTCAAAATTTGAATTTGAATCCATTCATAAGAAATGGAAGAAGTGTTCAAATAAGAACAAAGGATTTCACTTGTAATTGTAGATATATTTTGGCAAGCTGATAACAGACATCGAACTATTTTTTGACGTTGCGTCAGATAATATTTCAAGATAATTCAGAAATGAAAAGTAGATTTAGAATTAACTGAGAAAGTCCAATAGCAATTAATTAATGCGATTCATCTATAGAAGCAATATTTTATGATATAAAATATACATAAAATATTATACTCTAAACTCAAAAGAAGGAAAAAATGTTTCACTGAAACGAACTGCTACTCCTTTTTGTCCTAGGCTATATTAATTATAAACAGGCCAAATAAACTCGAGAAAAAAGTATTCTTATGTCTATGCAAAACAATTTGAGCCAAATTTTCTATTATGTAAGTAGAAGAAGGTTTGCAAGGAGAAATTGAAATGAATTCGTATGGAAAGATCTTATTTAGCCGAGCAATGAATGAATGCGAGATGAAAAAAGAATATCGAGAAAGATGGAAAAAAAATGAAATATTTTTCCGATTTATTCCATCTCAACTATAAACGATAATTTTCAGCTTTAGAGAACGTGCTATTCTGATCATTTAATCCTATCATCAATCAAATTTAGGATTTTATTTTATTTCAGTCAGAGACTTATGCATATGATAAAGTTCTATTAGTCCTAGTAGCTCGAAATCAAGTTAATCCGAAAATAAATGATAGCTAAAGTAATATTTGAAGATTTCTGAACTTTAACTAGAATGATTGTCTTCTTTAGAACATACAACAAATAATGTATTTCTTATCACAATTAGAAGCTAATATCAAATTTGTTCACTACTGATTCAGAAATCCTTTTTATTTATTTATTTTTTTGTTTAGCTAATGCAGAAGTGAATAAACTTTGAAAATAAAAGCAACCCAAGCAATATTGACAGAATATTAGGGCGGTAGTGGAATTTGTGAGAGAATAATTAGTGGAAGGATAGAATGACATGTGCCAAAATAGATTTCTGCCTGAGGAGATGGAAGGTCTGAACCATTGCAAAAAGCACAGAGAGAGAATCTGTTGTAAAAAGGGTTGTATTCATCCACTAAGCATTTATTTTCAATAAACAACACTTCGCAATTTTATTTTTCATTCTCGACAAAAAGACGAGAAAAAAAGAAATGAAAAAGAAGAAAGAGTAAATTAAAAGTGTCTGAATGCTTTATTCTGTATAGCATATTTGTCTTTTGTTAATTTACCAGCATTTTAAGCCTGCATTGCACATTTCGAAGAATTTCTCTAACTGTAATACAGACGTAATCTGACAGAACCGAAAATATCGTGAACTGTCCAAGATGAAATCAAATTTTAGTACCACTTTCTGTTTTGAAAAATGGTTTATACTGCAAGCTGCTAAAAGGATATTTATTTCAAAGGTAACTTGTGGCTCACCTGCTTATAATTTAATCAGTTTAAAAGGAGATAAAACCTGCAGAACATTTATGAGAATTTCAAGAAGAATTTTTTTTTTTTAAATCAAAAATAATAGTTTAATAACTTTTATCATTCTTGCGCCATTCTGCTCAAAATTTTTAAAATATAAAAAGGATATAAAAATGATTGAAAAGTAACGAGTAGTAAAGAAGAAAGTTGAATTCGATCTTATCTCCTCTATCCATCCTATCTCTCTCTCCCTCCCCCTCTCTCTTTCTTTCTCTTTTTTTCACATATAAAGAGACTAAGATATTTCAGAAATACCTTAAACATTTAACGTCACATCAACAACTGTTCCTTACTGCTTGATTTATCGGAACATTGCTGAAAGGCCACAACAAGCATCGAATGATAGATATCTAATAAACACAAAACTATCATTAAATGGTTAATTGATTGATTGGTTCATTCGCTCATTCATAAAAACTTCCGTTTTACCAAAAAGAAAAGCTGCAAAGTCTGAAATTCTGAAGTAAATAGGTCAAAATCTATTGAGCACATGACAAAGGACACATTTTCAATTTTCGTTTTCCGGAGTTGCACGCACTTTTTTTCCGATTTTTTGAAAGTACTGAGATGAATAACAATGTTCTTGAAAAAATGTCCTTGAATATCTAAACTTATGATTGTGCAATCAATCTAAACCTCCATTTTTCATTCCTTTACTCTATTCTAAGTGATCATAACGCTTAGTCAAGAACGTTAAACAATGACGTAAAATAGTAAGGAAGAAGTATTTTAAAAATGGTCAACAGGAAATATCTAATCTACATCATAACTAATCAAAAAAAAAAAAAAGGATTTCATTATGATCAGCGTAGTTTGTTTGCCTTTTTCACAGTATTATAACTCACAGAGCATTCGAAATACGACTAATTTTATTTAACATTGAAATCAGTTTTCCATCTTCTTTCTCACTTAAAATTGCTTCAAATTTAAAAGCTTTTCATTTGAAAACTTTTAAAGCATGCATTCTATTTCAAAATGTTTTGGACTAAAATTTATAAAGAATTGAAGTTTATTTCTTAATATTTTATATGGATACAAAACTAATAAAAATTTATTTGAAATAGCTATAAGTGCTTGTGGAAATGGAAGCATTTAGTGATATTTCAAGCTTTCAGGTTGTTGTAAGGAAAGATTAGTGATCTGATCCGGACGGATTAGAGAGAAACTTTCTCTTCTGCAAATAAAACAAAGCGAATATATATATATCAGTATGTACTGCAATACCGATTATTATCATTTTTCTAAAATCCGCCTTATTTCTTCCCTGTATTTCGTCGAAGATTTTGCAAAAACTCTTTAACTTTAAGCTCTTTAACTGAATATCATAATGATAAAAACTTATTACAATTGCATAATATTAAATGTTGTAACTATTATTCATCAAACAATTCATTTTGCATTAATTTTTAAAACATTAATTTTATATCGTTTATTTAACAAAAAGCAATTAACAGAAAATGCAAAATTTTTGATGCGCTGTTAAGCAAAACATTTTTCGAAAAATTTTTTTCTAAATTTTGCAATAATATTTACTATCTCTGCTAACGGAATAGAGCAAAGATTACTGGGTGATTTCTTCTGTAGTTGTAATAAAGAATATAATTGAAACAAAATATTACCCAAAGACGGACTCAAATATCATTCCGTCTTGTCTTAGTGCTGATTTAAAAAAAAAAAAAAGCAATGATAGAAATCTATAGTTAAGCGACAACAAAGTGCTAACAACATAAGAATTAGCTTTCTGGAGAGACAAAACTTATAAGCTTACATCAAAAGACATTCGGAAGAAGGAAAAAAAAAAAAAAAAACATTTCTGGAAACTTTCAGTTTGGGAAGTAACTTAGCACTTTTATAACTTTATTCAACTTTATTTTTAGAAAGCTTGATACACTAACATGAAACTAGCAGAATTAAACCTATAAATTTAGCTGTTCAATACAAAGAAGTGCGGAACTCTACTGATTGGATAGAATGAAAAAAGCATAAAAAACGATAACTTCATTTTATTATATTGTGTAATATTTCAACAATAGTAAAAATCTCACAGATATTCTAGTAATCAAATGTTACAACAAATATTGGATATCATCGAAGGCATTGAATTCATTGCTAAGTATATCGCCAAGAATGAAAATCAATTCATGAAAAAGTGCTCAGTTTTAGCGAATTTACAAACGACTGATAGTGACAATATTTATTCTTTCTTAATATCAAATTTTAATCCATCATTTTCTATTCCAATCACTTTATCAGTAGAGAACGAATGAAAATATGTTTCAGTTCTAATCTGTCAAATCCTTTTTGCTTTAAGTTTTTTTTTTCTTTCCTTTTTTTTTTGCCTAACTGATGATGGAACATTTGAAATTTAAGTCTCTGTACCAAAAGACAGCAGTGAAACTAAAATTATGGAAAGGATTAAATTATTGAGCAGTGATAGCTTTATGCAAGTATTGCAGAAATTAGCAAAAACGTAATATGTATTTTCAATTCAATCAACTGATGTAATTTCTACACATATGGCAAAAGTCTTCCGGTGAAAGAGCGAAATTTTCCGCTTAATGTTATGCATATAAGCAATTGTGGAATGTGGACATTGATTAGAAAACAGTAAAAATGGAAGTAAAAAAAAATTAAGTAAAGGTCTGAAGACTGAATCTATTTTGAAGAACTTAGAAACATCCTTCATTAATTCGATGAAATTTAAATAGAAATAAAAAAAGATCACAAAATTATATGTCCAAATAACAGAACTTATTTGGAGGCATAAATGTTAATTGGAAATATCTCAGAACAAAAAAGCATAAAAATTTCACAGTGTTTTAGGTGCAGTTTTTATTTATATCAATAGTTTAAAAATGGCTGATAATAAAATTCATGCAAGAAATTGAGGAAATTTTGAATGCGAGATTACTACAAGCATGAAAAAATTATTTATTTCTATTCGGTAATATTCGATATATGATCTCTAAAATCTAAGATTATCTTCTGGCATTACTGTGATATGATATGAAGTAAGCGATAAACACCACTTTCCTACATACAAACTTCCCATTATCATCACTAAGATCTAATTGATATCAAACATTAACAATTTAGAAAGTGATTTGTTAAGATTTCATCTATTACATATCTTTAAGCCTTTTACCTATAACTAAATTTTTTGAGAAATGGAGATGGGAAATCTGAGAGTTATCATTTTTAAACTTTTTCTATCACAGAATATGAAATTTACTTTGTTTATCAAAGGTCTAGAAGAATATTCTTTACTATCACTACGCTATTTATTCATTTTCACTTCTTATTTGAAGCATATCACACTAGAAGCAATTCATTCATTATTAGTCTTTGATAAATTGATAGATAACTGATTGAAATCAGTATAAGAAAGTTATCAGTTGTTATAGTCATATCACTTCACATCCTTATAACTGTTTTACTACTTGAAGTGATATCTTTAGATTATGAATCTTTTTCCACTTATTTTCAATCCCATAAATTTAGCAAATTCAATTTAAAAGCAAAAAGCTTCAATAGATCCCTGTTTAATAAGAGAGTTTATTGCTATCATTTGTTTTTAATGACAAATGCCGAAAACATTAGTCAGCTTAGGTCAATTCATGGCACTCTAATAATACGCATTGTGTTCGTATGTCCGGATCCTATAATTTTTCATTAAAAGTATAAGAATTATCAATTGTTTCTCTAAAGATGAAATTTTTCTATTTGAGAAAAAATGAAAACATTTTCTTCTGCCTTTCCACTGATATATATCATTTTCAAATATTACAGATTACTGCATCGGTTGTGATTTAAGATTTTTTCTCATATTTCGAAGTAGCAATAGCAGTCATAAATACCTTTGGACCATCCTGTGATAATGATGATTAAATCATTTGATTTAATAAAACCACAAGCTTTCCCTTCTTTCATACCATGAGCCACTCGCAGATCAATATCAGCCTTCCAATCCTCATTTTTTGGCTCTGCAACAAATACATTCTTCGACTAAAGATCCAATTTTATAAAATTACTTACTTAGCAACATCAAAAATTATTTATAAAAACTCTTTGTTTACCTAATGAAACTAATTACTTGACTAATTAAGCCCCTACATAATGCATGTTAGCAAACCGGTGTAAAGTGTTGGATGGACACCACGAAACAGATGCATTTGTCGGGCGGCTTGCTCTTCTCGAGTTATTGCAATAATTGGTGCCATGGGACGATAACGACTCACCAAACTGGCGGAGCTAAATTTATCATTTAAAAGTTTAATATATGCAAAGCATAATAAAGTTGCTTATTCCTAAAAAAAAAAAGACCACGTTTTTACGTTGAAGTTGCACGTATTTAAGTTGTACTTCCTTTTATCTATGTCTTTTTCAATGTTACAGGGAATTTGAACTTCTGAAAATACTTACTGCCCTGTGGCAGTTAGCACTATGATAGCGCTTGCATTGCATGAAATTGCTGCAGAAGCGGCTGCAATCGCAATCGTGTGTGTGACATCTGGAGGTTTCTTCATGCACAGAAGAGCTTCACGGAATACTTCTTGGTAGTTCACGGTCGATTCGGCTTCCAAGCATAACTGAAGCGCCATTAACTCTTAGAATTTGTTCAGTTTTAATAAGCGCTTGTTATCTTGATGTCATTACCAAGCGCATTTATTTGTCAACGCTTTCCTTTTGGTCCTCTTTCCGCTTACCTTACTCATAGTTAATAGTGTTAATACAGGATAGTCTCCCTTTGCTGTCTCACCGCTTAACATAACACAATCGCTACCATCGAGTACTGCATTTGCTACATCACTACCTGAAGTATTCATTTGTTATATCATTGCTTAAATCACTAATTAATATGCAAAATGTAAAATAAATGAAACACTTCTTGAATATGTAATTAATAATGTAACAAATTGCTACTATTTTTAGCAAAATCCTTAGGCAACAAAAATCTCGCAAAGTATAGCCATTGGATTATGCTATCCCTAATGGTTAACTGACCCTCAGCTCGGGTAGGTCTTGGCTTCTTGGTCATTGATTCAAGCATTTGAGTAGCACATACTACGGGCTTTCCCATTAAGTTACATCGTGCGATTAGCATTTTTTGCGCTGCGAATACTTTCTCAGTGGGAATTTCGATACCCAAATCACCGCGTGCTATCATCAGCCCATCTGCCTCTCTGATTATTTCATCTGCGCTGAAAGCCATAACGACATTTTCTCCTTCATTTATCAACAAAACAATAAACCACATCTTACTGCATTTCAGAATAAACTTGCAACGATAGCTTGCTACTCCGAAGCAACTTATTTTCACTTTTGCAAATTCGATTATCATCTACTACTTATCATTAACTTGCAATAATTAGTTCTCACTTTTCAATGCCTTCCTGATTTTCAATTTTCGCTATAATTTTAATAAATCTTCCTTTCTCGCCAAGAATACGTCGTATTGTACGTACACCTTCAGCGTTTCGAATAAATGATGCAAATATCATATCAACACCCTATGAAAACAAAAATACATTAAAGCTATCTCCTCCAATTTACAGCTGACAACTTTAGAAAAACTGGTACCTGTTCGACACCGAATTTCAGATCTTTAGTGTCTTTGTCTGAAACAGCAGGCAAGTCGCATTTGGTACCAGGAAGGTTGACTCCTTTTTTGCTACCTAATTTGCCCCCATTCTCAATTGTACACATTATGTCCTTGCCCTCTAAAATGATAGAATTATTTGGTCAATGAAACATAAACAAATTAAATTCTTGATCAACGATGACTCAATTTGATATAGTCGACAGGAATTTGAATTTAAAGTTTCAGTCAAATTATGTGCTTTAACCGATCGAACTTTGCAATCTGAAGGCTTTTCAGCTAATCATTATTGAATAACAGAATAAATATCCATACGGATGCTATCCACCACCACTGAAATGAGTCCATCATCGATAAATACGTGTGCTCCAGGATTCAGAATTTTTGGCATGTTCTCATAATCGACGTATAATATATTAGCATTGCATTTTGAAGCCATTGCTTTATCTATCGTGAGCTTGATTTTTGCTCCTTTTTTTAGTTCTATCTCCGCAGTAGCGGACTTGAAAATATCACAGATTTTAAAGTCTAAGTTTTCTTATTTATTTTTATATAGTTGTCTTAGTAATTAGTTTCTATTTAAGCTAATTTTATGATCGATATTATCCATTTTAAAGTTTTCAAATCTAAAATTTAAGAATTTCGATTATTTTGAAAGACTTTAACATTTCTTTAGTCTTCCTAATGCTTTTTTAGCACTACCGCAAGACAAACTTATGTTGTTAATAGAAAACAAAATTATCTGTATTAAGCGATTTTAATTGCTCTTTCATAGTTTTTCCAAGAATTTAACTCTACTCCGTCTATAAGTCCAGTACGAATCTCAGGTCCTTTAGTGTCTAGAGCAATTCCAACTATCGGTTTTTGATGAAAACTTTGCACTGCTTCACGTATGTTTTTGATTGTTGTTGCATGATACTGCCAAAGAAAATTAATTTTAGTTTGGGAATTTTTACAATGGCAATCAAATTAATCATATTGAGAGATAATTGTACGATTAAATTTAAGGCAGAAATTTTTAAATTGTAAGAGATTTTATAATTATTAATACAGACTTCATGAGATCCATGACTAAAATTCAAACGAGCAATATTCATTCCGGATGAAATCATTTCCTTCAGGTTATCCACACTTCCACATGCCGGTCCTGTAATTCTTGCATGAAGTGAAAGATTAAATCGATTGAAAATATCACTTTCTGGTGAACAAACTGATAAGGTGGAAATAGTACTTAATCATACATCAATTAGCGAATTTTGACGTTGAGGTGACAGTCATCTGAATTGATACATTAGAAATATTCGATTTGTTGAGAAGTGGCCAAGCAGTTGGGAAAAGTGAATTAGTTGAAGTTTCAGGTTTAAGAGAGAATTATTTCATACCAATGGTACATATAATTGCCGTTTTTCTTTCGATATGTGGCTGACTTTGAATGTTTATTTTGCTCTTATGCATGAGATTTGTGAATACTTCCTGGCCACTAAATTTGAATTACTTTATTAGACATTGTTAATAAATATATATTTAAAATTAAATCTGCATGCCACTTTATGACTAATTCATTTGCTAACTGGGACTAATTCATTTATGGAACTATTTTGTCCCACAAGTTGTCTTTAAAGTAACAGATTTCCAGATCTTCAGAAATTTTGGTAGGACATCTTCGCATTCATACTTTTCTTCATTCCGATCATTTCAAAATTCTTAAACGTAATTCAGGTAAAAGTACTTTGTTTTGAGTGGATTCCATTTGTATATCATTTAAGCAGAAAATATTAAAAAAAAAAAACTCAATTCACGGACTTTTGTCTTCCTATCATGGCAAGGACTTTTTTTTCAAAAATTTTGGAACTCGATTTAGGCTAGGGAATATGGAAAATACTTTTTCGTTGAAAATTTGTGATCACTTTTTTTAGAACTGAAAAGTAGTCGAATAATTTTGTTCGTATCATATTTTATTGCCCAACACAATTTCAATTATTTCTTGAGACAGAAGTAAAAAGCACTTGTAACACGTCACTTACCTTTTTAATTTCTTCATGAAAGAATAAATTGATTTTCAAATCTAAGTTTTCATTAATATAATGTGATAGCTTAGATTAAATCATTTTAGTCAATTATGTTTGATTTTCTTATCAATTTTCCCTATTAAAAGTCATAAAAGTACTATTTAGATTCTCAATTTGGCTCGATTGTTAGTAAATGTAATTTGTTTCATGACACTCTTCAATAATTTGATAAATTATTATAGCAGTTAGTAATTAGCCACACTTTCTCGTTGTTTTCCTCACCTGTGCTTTTGCTCTATTTGATGACAATATTTCTGTTTCACATTCGAATTTAAGTAATTATAAATGAGTCCATTGATTTTTTGGTCATAAACATTCTGAGAGCACAAAAACCATTCATAATTATGTTAAGTAAAACATACATCATCTTTAGAGTCAGTTGCACACTTTTCCGCACTACCAAAGCTTAGCAAGACACCTCCGCTTGACAGCAGCTATACGGAATAGAAGAATGAAATAAGCTAACATCTTTATTTAAAATAGAAATGATAATTTAAAGTAAAATTTGCATCTTATACCAAATCATTTAAATGTAGAATCTTATGAAATCTAAACTTTTTTAAATTTATATATCAGTGAGCTTTTATATGAGCAAACTTTGTATGGATAACAAGTTACTGAGACACAACTAATTTACAATTGATCTGAGTGATGTGTCGAATCATCTGACTTCTTAATAGGACCATCTAATGGTTTCATCCGTTCAATATATTCATTAATGACTTCTGGCGAATAATATCTGTCAATATAGTCATGCAAGTGATGTTCCACAATTGCCCGTGCTGAGCAATTCCTGAATTAGAAATATCTTTGGGCATCAGAAATAAACATTTCAGTTGATTTAGCTCATTTTCAAATATGTTGGCTTGTCTTTTTTAACTTATATAGATGAACACGTGAAATTTTCATCTACCAGACAAACTGTTTTCAAATAAGCATGAATTCTTTGAAGGAACATTTTTTAGAACAAAAAGGAAATGGAGAACAAAGCATTATAAAATTACAGGCTATTAGTTGCATTTCAAATGCGGAAATATCAATTTTAAAGAGTTCTCTTAACGTTTAAAAACAAAAGAATAGTAAGTAAACTAACGAGATGATATCATCATTGAAGAAAAGAATATAAAGTGATTTCATCTGTTCGTCAAAATACTTTTTAAGAGTAGTCCTATAATTAAAATAATAAGCAGGGAGAAGCCTCTTCCATTCTGATTTGAGCCTAAGACTCAAATTTTTCTACCTTTTGTTTGTGAAGGAAGCACAAGACTCAAAACTAGAGCCATGAAGTGAGATTAAAAAGTAGCCTATTCATTTGTAATCAGCATAGTAATAATTAAATATTCATTTCATTGGTTAAAATCATTCAAAACTGACAAAAAAAATATTAATAATTCCTAAAGCACTGCAAACACAAGCCTAATATAACTTTTCGAGCTTTCCCAGCTTTGGTACAGATTAATGAATTATCAGACATACCGAAAGATGAAATGTGCAGCACTTAGTACTATAATGAAGCCAAGAGCCCAGCGCAGAGAAGTAGTATAGTCTAAGGATGAAGCCATATAGTTTTGTTGTTGTTGGTATTCAGCAGAAGCCTAAAGTAAACAAGTATTTACAGCAAACTTTCAAGAAGCAAAAAAAGAAGTAATTTATGAGAAGTAAACAACCGCACCATCATTTGCAGAAAATAGATTGGACCAAAAATTAAGATAAGAACAATGATATTAATTTTTTCACGAGAAAAATGGAATATTAAGTAATCTTTGACATTTCAATTTGTATGAAAGAAGAAAATGTGCAGAATTGAGGATGTCAGAGGAGAAGAAAGAAAAAAAAAAGTAAAAAGTTATTACTAAGTGGCGCTGTTGGTGAGGAAAATTAGAAAAAAGAACAAAAATGTTTGGATGCTATATTTAAAGCTTTTTATCAGTAACAAACATAAAGGATTTGTACTGATAAAATGTAACAGATTAGGAAATTTGAGAAGAAATTAAGTTAATTAAAGTGAAAATCCGAAAGGGACATATAGTGGAGTTCTATATAATAAGTAAATTTTAGGAATTCAAACCGAAATACTGATGAAATGGCATTGATTCTTCCTTCTCAAGAATAGAAATGAATAAGTTATTACTTTTGATTTTTAATTTCCTTGCGATATTTTAATACAAGCAAAGTAAAGCTACTTTAGATACCTTAAGATTGACAGGTTCGAATATTCTTTCTTATTAAAGAACTTTCATAATATTACATTCGTCGTTGCAATTCTTTTTGTTTTCCTTATCACTTATCAATTAATGACTGCAAACAACTGTGCATGTCTTACATTTGTTGGTATAATCATTTCTAAATTCATTCCAGGTGCTTTTTGTAGGAAGAATGAAAGTGTGACTTTAGAATGACCTCGTGGATCGAAGTCATAATGCCACTCTTTTGAATCAAAAGTGCTTACCCACAAATGATAAGTTCAATGAAATATAATGGAAAGCTCCTTACACAGAACTCGGAGGACTGTCATTTTATTTTGATAGAATTATCTCGGTGATTCTGATACTGTTAGAACGATCATTCATTTCTCATTATGATGTCAAATCTATCGCTTCCTCATTCGTTCAGCGAATATAATTTTTTTTATTAAAATTATATGTATTATTTATTTATTTGTTTATTTAATTATTTGATCTAATGATACGAAAACAATGATAGAAAGATCAAACTAATGTAATTTGGCATAAAAATGCTTCACGTTATCCTATATTATTTCTTGGAAATGTTTCAACGATCTGAATTTTTCCCATGGTTTGGTGAATTTCAGTAATCATAGAGCTTTTTGAAAGTTTATATTAATGGAGCAGAAAAATCTTTTGATAAGCGACAGTTTTAAAAGTTTTTCGCGAATTTCTTTTAATAATTTTGTTTTAATAACTTTTTTTTTTTTTTTTGATTTTTACTGCTTACCGCAGCAAAAATCAAATTTCGCTGATTTTGTCAACAACCAAGCAATTATATAATAATAGAACAAAGTTCAACACTTAGCAGCTTTTCCTTCTGATTTGCACTTTTTTCAGCCTTATTGAATGTCACTTATTTGAAGTTATTTTCTATCAAAATTTCAAATTTTGATGTTTTTTTTACTACAATCATTGAATGATTGAATATAGCAGTTGAAAGTTCCATGTATTACAAACAATGAATTTTTGTAAGATAAATGTTGTTTACGTCAATAACTTTGAACTATTTAGACATGAAATACTATAATCAATAATTCTGAACTATTTATAGCAAAATAGATGTGAAATACTATAAAAGATACCAGGTAAAATAAACTTAAATGATCAAGCATTAAAGAATATTATCGAGATCAAGAAGTTGTTATTGATAAATCTCATGGTAATCAGTTGAGAAGTGATTGTAGTAAGCTTCACTCTGTACATATGGAGAAGCAATATACCATAATACAACTTCATTTTAAAATCAATTATAGCTTGTTTTAAATGACTTATTATCACTAATTACTATACATAATTCATCCTTACTTCAGAGGAAGAAAGAGAGAAGAGAGAGAAAGAAGTCGCTAAGCTCAGCCATTTTCATTTTTCATTCATCAAGCAATATTTTCAGCCTACTTGTTAAATCAAGTTGTCAATGGCAAAAGAATGGCACTCTGGACGAACATTTTTTTTCTTTACAATTATTATTTTTAACTTTTGAACGGAATGACTTCATGCTCTCTTCGAAAGATAAATGAAAGCTATTTTGATTTTATATATTTAGAAGATCAATAAAATTCAAATGGATTTAATTAATCAATCTAATTGAATATATTCTGATATAATTAATATATGTACTACTGTTTACTCTACTACTTCAGCATGAAGGCATGCGTACATGTTTTACTTTATTTTCTGATACATTGTCAGCGATTTATGTTTAGATAATCTCATTGATAACAGTTTCATTCGAAAAGTGATGTCATTATTATCATAATAACCGGAAACCGTACTACATACACAGATAAAGAATGGAAAGGAAAAAGTAAAGATTTTCGTATTGTTTACTTCTTCGGCGGTTTAAACTGTTTATTAGCGACTCGTTGATTGAATTTCTTGTTCAATCCATTTGAAAGATAGAATTTGATGATGAATTATTGGGACACTGGGACTTTCAAACATCTGAAACATACAGAACAGAGTGTTAATCCTAGTGGTGATAGACATTATAGAACTGAGACAAAAGCGCGCAATTGACCAGAAAGCGATGGTTTGGGTTTCAAATTTATCTCACTATATCTTGTGTTTAGTAATCAAGTACTTATATTTCATTGCATTCTTTTTTATTGCCTTCTTATTTACTAAGCAAAATTTTTGTCTTTATAAAAAGTATTTTAGTTATTGATTTCAGTTGTTTCAATATGAACAATTTAGTATATACATAGTGAGTGATATATTAAACTTCTACTGGCTAAAAAAGGATCGAGAATGTCAATCACTTTACTAGTGACGTAATCAAGATTTGTCTAAAATGCAAAAATGAATTTAACGTTTCCAAAACTTCATCTCGAATAATTGAATTCTATCTTAAAACTATTCACAAAACCATTTCTTTGCTATTATTTCTAATAATTATAGCTAAATACTGTCATAACACATTACAGTAATATCGATCTATTTATAAACAAGCAAAGGCTTTTTCAATTTATTTAATTCCGATAATTCATTTAATTTTATTTTTGTTCCATTTTCAGCAATAAATACTTACATTTGGACTGTTTATTTACAAAATCTTAGAAAAACGGCAACATTCCAATGTATATTTGTTCCTAAACAATTATTCCTATAAACAAAATTTTTTTGTCACAACGGAACAATCACTTAAACTTAGGTTTAATGATAACCGAATTCTGAAGAAATTGTCTAAATGTGAATTTCTGATAAACAGTTTATCGTTTTGTTCCACTGTAATCAGAAAAAAAAAAAAAAAAAAAAAAACGTAGTAAAAAAATGTTCAAAAATTGACATCAGTTGTGATTTTTAGGAGACTTACAGTTTTGAGAAAAATGGATTGATTTATTGGAAAAGAAGAAACGAAACTTTTTTGATATGAAAATATCGATGTACGCTAAATTTTACGATATAAAAAAGTATTTCTGATATTGTTTTCAAAACTTCGCAAATATCTAAACATTCAGAAAAATGAAAAATTCGTAGATGAATCAAAAATTGCTACAATATTATATTGTTTTAATTTCATTTATTTCATTTCACTGCAAAAATTTTAATTTTGAAAATACTTTCGTTTCTTTTTATAATAATTTTTGTAGAAATACATAACGTTATGGTAATTTTTGTATAATGTTTTATTACAATTTCAAATAAAAATACAATTTTGTAATGTTTATAAATGAGCCTTTTTGTTTTTTAATTTTGATTTTTGAGTTTATTCTGAATGAGAAAAGAGCTATTGATAAATGTTAAAAATAATAAATCTTAAACTATTTCTGAGTCCAATAATCAAATGACCTTACTGTAAGCTTTATTAATTTTATTGAGCAGTGACAATCATACTTAACAACATACTTCCTTATTAGAAATATATAAATTTGATAAGTATGGTAAAAATAGATGCATCAGTCAGCAACTACTGCATAATATATACTTCGGATTAAATCTGAGTAATTTGTGTCTTTCATTCACTTTTTAGTTCTAATTTTAGTTTCTTCGCTTAATTAGCAATGTGGAATATTAGGAAATCTCAACTATTCGAGTATGAAATGAAACTGTTCCGTTGTTTTTTGTCGATTCTTTACAAATCACAATTTTAATTAATTAAATTAATTGACGAATCCGTTATTTGTTTATTTATTTAATGTTTAATATAAAAATTTGAAGATACTTTTGAATTTGACTATTATTGGAAAGTCATTTCCATATTTTTCCAATTGTAGAATGTATGACCATTATAAAAAGTAAGTAATTATTGATTACTGAATACTTAGCTGATTAGGTATAATAATGACCTACCAGTTTGCAGACATCTTATGTTAGCCTTTGGCCTAGGTATTCTGTAAACTCAAAACTGTAGTGCTTTTTGAATGAGATATTGTTATAATCTTCAAATTGTCTAGCATTTCTACCTTTCTATTGCACAATTTTTTAGTTTAAATTAGAGAGGTGATGTAGTCCTTCATTTGAAATCTTCTTTTCAAACTATGAGTAAATAGCCAAGTGCTGCATGTCGAGGTCGTTTTTTTCTCTCAATTTTCAAATAAATGCTAATGTTTTGGGACTAGTCCATTCTCGTTTATTCCTCAGAGCATATACATCTTTTGCTTGTTAAAAAACACACATCTAAAAGTTGCACTGTTCATTTATTCATGCATTTTATAAATGTTTCAGTTTCCAACTTCACACTTAAAAATTTTTTGATGTAAACGGCATTAGTTAAATAACTGTTCATCATTAATTTCAATTTAATATCAACAATTTAATGCTAATTAAATTGAAAACTGCCTTTTAATTATAGTACTATAATTAAAAAGCAGCCTTAAAAAATTGAAAGTTCTTCTTAGATAATAATAATAAGTTTAATTTTGAAGTTTTAAAATCATATTCATTCGCTTACAGTTATATAATGAAATCAGTGAAAACTATTTTAGCGAATATAAGATGAGCGTGGCTTAGTTTCTTTGCTCTTAAAGTGAGCCAAAACATTCTTGATATAGTAGTATCTTTAACTTACAAATCTTTTAAAGTATATTAGTTATAGGTCAAAAAGCAGTTATCTCTACGTACTAGCAAAAGTACCAAAGTTTATGAATTCAAGTTCTCTGTTAAGAACTCTTCAATTCAAAATCTTTGAAATGAAAGAAATTGTATATAACTTTGTACTGATTCGTAATAGTCTGTAAAAACAGATTGTATAACAAGCATGCTAATGCTTAATTTATTAGTATGCAAGTAAACTTTTGGCTAATGCCCCAAAAAAGGCTAAAAAAAAATTTTTGCTTTGGACCATTAAACATAATACCTCTGAACCACCAATTAGCAGGTGATATCTTATCACGTCAGTCTTGATCTCACTGATATCATCGTGATGGATGAAGATAGAGAACGATTTTAATTATATGATAACTGATCCCTTTCATCTAATTCAATTCCAAAATCTTCCTACTTCGTTTATTTTTTATTGATTGGAATGTATTAGCCTTATTTGATGTATCAATGTAATTCGCATCATTTCATCGTTAATTAATACCAATAAATAAAGTCAAAGTTAATGAACGTCTAGATTAACTTGAAAATGTAATTTATTCCTTAGAAATTTTATTTTAACCAATGTCTTTTTGATAATTTCTAATTCATTCATTTTTTTAGTTTCAAAATCTTTGAATGAATTAATTTGAACAAAATGTTTATTAGTGAATGAACATATTGCATTGTTTTATAATTTAAAAAGACTTTCCTTTGACTTTGACTTGTGTTGATAACTAAGAGAAGAGAAATTTTTTAATCCATTTGAAAATTCGTATCTTCTGACACTTTTCGACATTTTTTTTCTTTGTTTTTGAATGGCACATTTCAGCAGAAATGAATTCCTGTTATCTTTTTACTAAAGCAGCTTGATAATTTTGCTTTCAACACAACTCTGCCAATTAGTTCTAACGACAAGTTTTAGTTTTTTCCAATATATCAATATTTTTTAGATTTCAACTTTTCATGAAGTATTGCCATAGTTCAAAGGTCGAACTAGATACGGTGGTGAAGGTTGAAAAGACACAAAGTAAAATAGAAATGCATCAAAATTGTTAAAAAATCAACCTTTTATGTGCCAATAAAATATGCCCCCAAAATTGTGGGCTATCTTATTCGTAATGAAGAGTTTGGCACTTAACTCATTTATTTACATTTGTTTCCAAGTTGTGTTCGCATTTTTCCTATCCTTGTAATTTCCTGCACCTTGGCGCTACTTTGTTATAATGCGCCACTAATGCTATATCCTATTATTACCTGTTGCTTAGCACCATTGTTAATAAAAACCAGAAAAGTCATCAGCGAGCATAAATTAGTCTAATCGAATTATTGTCGGAAGTGGTAAAGGGTTAAGAAATGTTTAAATAAACCAAGAGCTTGATCAGAATATAAAGATATGAATTGTTTTGATTGCTTTTAACCATTCAGCTATACATGCCACATGTGATGAAGTGAAAGGTGACCTCAACCTGACCTGAAATTACAGGAAAGAATGCAAGATGCAAGCTGATAGCTGCTAATGAAGTTACTGGTGATCCACGATGAAAGTTCCAAAATTTTGGGACATCGCTATCTTAATTCACAAATTTCACTTTATCTCGGTCTACTACAACTTACCATTTGCATTTGGGCTATGGCACAACATTTCTTTTCACTTTTCCGTTACAATCAGGTATCCACGATAGTGCGCAAAGCCATCAAAAATACGTGTACTTATAAGAAAGATAAGAAGCAAGTAAATACGGAATTTTTTATATTCAAACTGAAAATTGAAGACGAAAAGTGAATTAATGTGAAGAAATAAATTTCTTTTTGCTCTAGCCTCTAACACAATGGAACTAATAGTTTCACTGAACTTTGGTGCGAGACAATATCTCTACTGATAGAGTGCAAACTTTCAAAGTTTAATTTAAATCAATTTCAGATACTGTTCTGTGATTTCATCAACGGAACAGAACCCGTTTTACTGGTCGGTGTAGACATCATCATTTTTGACATCGGCTTGTTTCACTCATTATGGGGTATTGACAGTTGCGTAGCACAGCATCTGGATGGTGGATATGGAAGGTTCATGTGGTGTGTTTGTCACATTCTTGCCTTTGCCATATGCCTGCCATTTGCATTCGTATCAAGACCAAGGCCTTACTCATTATGGCCTCTTCTTATCCAGGTAATATTATGCTGGTATACCGAAGAAGTGATCATACCAAATTATTTGCATACGATCTTCGGTCTGGGCCTGTATATAACAGAACTTGTCTTTTTTGAATAAAAAGGTTTTGTATGTGACATCTAAACAATAAACACTTTGAATTGGATTGGGATGTTAAAATATCGATTAAGTTAAAAAAAATAAGAATAGTATAGAGATGACAAGTTCAATGGCCTTAAACTCTTCCTATTATATTTCCCTTTTGGGACACAGTTTCTTCAGCACAACAGTTCATATCATTTTCCTTTTTCCTTTATGCTCTAACAACGCTTAGTTGAAAAATGTCACAAATGCACAATACAAAGGATTCTCATTACTTTTTAGCAAAGTGCCTATGGGGTCGGGTTGCTGATTTTAAGTTTGGCTGCTCTACCGAGGGTCTTGCCGACATTTACCGGTGATCAAAACAGTGCTTCACTTTTATCGGTGTCTATTTATGCTACTGGCGCATCACTGAACTTCTTCCTGGTATTACTTCCCATTATTGCAAGCAGTTCTTTACAACTTGACATTATTAAATTTGGAAAATGAAAAGATAACGCACGTAGAAGTAATTAATTCATTACAAATAAAGCAAATAAAATAGATAAATGTCAAAGTTCAACTCTTCTTCAGTTAGAAATTTTATGAAATTCTTTGGTTTTGGATGACTTTGGTGACTTTTCTAAATTTATTTTCAGTTGTATATCTATTGGCATTGGTACTGGCACGTAGAAGCGATGTGGAATTCAGCACGAAAGCTACGCCTCAATCGCATCAATTCAGTAAGGAAGCGACGCACACGTGGGACATCGCTCGAATGTGTCAACGTTACCGATGACACTGCTCTACAGCACATTCAGCCACAAAACTCACTCTTCCATGTTCAACGTGTCACTTCACGGAAACCTCTAACCGAGTCCTATCAAGAATGCGTTGCTGCCGTTATGTCCGAAAATTTGTTTAAAACAGAGAATTTTGTGAATCACGATAGTAACGAGTATCACGGCTTGCATTCAACAAATAAGTGCCCGAAATCATGTGATAAGCGTAATGACGCACACGTGACAGATTGTGATGACGCAGAAGAGTTGCGCCAAGCTGTTAGTCACAATAGAACAAATTGTTACAAAAAGTTAACAAGCCAGCGTAACCCGTGCAACCATAGGGTTAGAAGCCAAGTAAGGACTTCTGGCCTACAATCACTTTATTTGCTCTCCCACTACACGCCTCTTATGACTGTCCCGTGGCGTCCTTGTCATCCCTCCGTTCAAAATACCAAATTTATACGACATTTCAATGTTTCACAGCGAAGTTCTTTGATAGGTTAGTCCCCGTACCACCTGACGACATTGAGCAGCGCCTTATAAACGCATTCACTGCTTTGTGCTCATCGAAAATTCTTGAAAGTGCACAGTTAATGATGAATGATAGCATTTTAAAGGTGCTATATTTATGGCAATTAATATTTAAATAAAATTGGAAGAGCAATAAATCGGGGAAAATATTAGGAAGAAGAAAAACAAAACATGTTAAAGAATTAAAGTGAAAAATTTTGGTTTAAAAGAATAAACTACTGATTTATTGTTGAAAGTATTAACATTTTCAAGAATCAATACTCAGTGTTTTTTGAATAGGAAGAACTGAAGGAAAATTAGCATTTAAATAATTTTATTCCAAATTTTATTTTGAATGAGCTTTCGCAAGAATTCTAGAATGACTCATCCATTAGTTTAGAAATCCATTAGTTTCTGTTTATTTTTATTTTCATGGGCTCATAAATTGCATATTATTTGAATTATCTATGAAACAGTGTATGTAAATATTTATGTAAAAAGAGTTGGAAGGTCTTCCCGTATTAATTTTCTTGAAGTGAATGGTACCAAAACAAAGTAAACTTTATCTAGACTAAAATGTTATGTTGAGTCAAAGGTCATGAGAGCAATAGTTCGGAAGATTTTTATTTTGAAAAGCACAAAAATATAAGTTGAAAAATGACAGCAACATAACTTTTTTTGAATCTTCTGCCCGAAAACAAAAATGATTAATCAGCTAAATATTCTTCAACCAATAAGTTTCTGCCATGGAACATTTATGTTAGCATTTATGTACTAACTGATTAAGAAATTCTGTTTTTTAAAAAAAATAAAAAACTAAATTATTTTAACTAGAACTATCAAGCAATTTTAAGAACGACACTATATAATATAGGTTAGAAATGTGCGGTAGAATGCAATTTTGTAGCAGTACAATGCGCAGTTGTCATTCACATAGTTTAGCATATATAGTAAAAAAGATGAATTAGAATTGAACAAAAGGGAGAACTATTTTTTATTGCTTTTCAAGTTTTAGCAGTTTATTTATTAATTTGCAGAACTTTAGAAATATAAGCACTACGACTTGTTTAAGTGTAGAACTTTCTAAGATAATAAATAATTTAATAATTAGCCATGTTTACCAAATTTCAAATTCGTGTCAAACTTTACAAACTTTTGAAAATAAGAAAACAAATCGTAAAATATTAATTTTAGAAGGAAAAATTCCCTTTTTCTGTCTAATTCAATGCATTAGTTATTCATGCAACAATGATCAAATGATGAGGCGAATAATTTATTTTTATCGAAAAATTTGTCAAATTTATCTTATTATAACTATCCCAGCGTTCCACAACTTAGCAAATTTCAATACAGTAAATGACTAAGTAACTATCTTTAACTACGAATTATAATCTCGGCCTTAACTCCTTTCTTCTGGCTCACTGCGAATTACAATCTCGGCCTTAACTCCTTTCTTCTGGCTCACTGCGAATTACAATCTCGGCCTTAACTCCTTTCTTCTGGCTCACTGCGAATTACAATCTCGGCCTTAACTCCTTTCTTGTGGCTCACTGCGAATTACAATCTCGGCCTTAACTCCTTTCTTCTGGCTCACTGCGAATTACAATCTCGGCCTTAACTCCTTTCTTCTAGCTTATCAATTGTATTTAATTCACTAAATTGCATAAAGCTGCAAAACAAACGGAAAACTTTTCACCACTTAATAACAAAATGTAAGAGATAAGAAAAGGTTTCGAAACGTTTCTGAAATGTCATATGGAAACGCAATAAAAGTTCTGTTATGTCAATTTTTCATTTTATAATGTTAGCAATAATCTACTGTGGTGCACTTTGACATAATGTAAATTTGCGTGAATTATGGAAAATATAAAATGGAAGTGTAAAAATTTAATTTGGTATTGGAATTCTTGAAGCAATGGTTATAACTGGTGGTTCCTATAATTAACTGAAATGAACTCTTTGTTAACTATCAGCAACGCTGTGCACTTCCGATGATGTCTTATCCTTACGTGGAGCAGTTCCTCGTTTCACTTTATGATGATGAGATACGATCATCTGTGAATTTGTAGATCTTTGAGTTAGGTTAGATATGCTCCAGCAATTCCATCTGCTTCGAATTTGGATTAGTAGACTTGTTTGATGAAAGGCAACGAATTATTTCCTTTTGGCAATTTTTTGGAACTCAGTTCTGTTTTGAAACAAAAATGAATGAAAGTCAGTTAATTCTCATTAAGTCATACAACCAACATTCCAACTGAATTATTTTGTCCTGAACAAAACTATATAGAATTCATAAAAAAGTGATCTCTTGTCCATCACATCCATTCGATAGAGCTCCTAATTTACACGAATAAAAATTACAACGGTTAATTTAATAAGTCGATCTTGATGTTCTCAAAAACCTACAATCTGGCATTTCCTCGATTGTTTAGGATTTCTTTACTATTAGTAAGAAACATTTTATATAAACAGTGCACAGGAACTCTACAATACTGAAATTCGAATTTCAATTTTCATTAACCGATGGCGTTGAAGTATTTATTTGTTCAGTGTTATTCTGATCACTGGGAGACAGAAACGCTCATCAGAAGCTAGCAGCACTTTTCAGAAAATTTAATTCAGTATGAAGCTTTGCAGTAAATTTAATTCAGCATGAGTCTCAGACAATACTTCTGGACTGCTTATTAAGAGTAAAAAGAAGCCTAGCAAGTGACATGTGCTTACTGCTTCCACATTTCAAAATACACCGAGATACTTCCATGTCGTCAAGATCAATCCGGGATACAAGTCAACCACCCAATCAACCAGCATGCATCACCACCCCGTCATCACACCACTACGTTCATATTGATTGCACTGTGCTCACTATGCGTCGAATGCGCCTATTGACTACAGGCGCACATAGTACTACACGACTGCCTGTTTTCGCTTTCCTTTTTGCCTGCCACCTTTTGCTTTCTTACTGTCAAGCAATTTCCATCTATGCGAAGTCACTTCAATCAATAAAGCTTTGATGTTGAAGCATAAAGTGGAATTGAATGAACTGATTTCATTGAGGCGAAATTGGATGCTTGCATAAACAAAGTTAGCCTCATCTTGGCTTGTGGTAAATCGATAGCAATGAGTGAATCCTGTACACTTTGGCTTCAGCTTAGTGCTTTATCCTTTATGATAATTGTTGAGATGTAGTCAAGCAAATATTTTTGTTATTGCTATTGAAATGAGTCGCTTTTTTCTTCCTTGATGGCAAATAAACAATGATGAATTTCAAAAAAGAAAAAAGCCTATGATTAGCTGAAAAATATACAAACAATACTTACATGTGATACGTACGAATAAATAAGCCTAGGGACTGAGAAATATCGAATCATACAATTTTTAATTTACTAATAAGACATATTGTGCTGTTTGACTTTTTCTAAGGGAAATCGATGGTTAGTATATTTACTTAAATGATGAAGTACTAAGTTTACATATGGTTGCCATAAAATTGAAAGCAATCTCAAGAAAAAAATTGCGTACTACTATAACTTTAAGTCATATTAGCAAGTTTATAAAATTCAATAAATTACTAAATTTTTGTTTCAGTTGGCAATATTGTTCATACCTTCTTCTAGTGATAAGTTTTTATCAGTCATACATTTGACACATCATATGAAATTTCTTAAAAAGTTTTTCATGTTTTGATTCTTTAGTAAGATAGAATTAGATGGCACTGAATCATAAAAAAACGTATATTTGTTGAATTGAATTTCTTTCTTGTGTGACATTTATTTCCATCAATTCCATATATTCAGCAGGAATTAAATATTGCAGTTGTTTTAGCACAATAAATCATTTTCAAGATTGCGGAGCTTTGATTAAAATTGGACTTTTTGAACTAAACAAACAAAAAGACAACAATGTCTGATGTACGTCGTTTGTTCACTTTAATTTGAACGGTGGAAGAAGTTAAATTATCTCTAATCATCATTCTCCTATAATAGGTAACTATCGGAAATCTCCAGAGTACATATATGAATATGTAGTTACTATGACAAGGTCATGATCTAAAAGAGGAATTTAATCGTCCGAGATTTTTAATCAATCAGTTCAGCTCCTTGTTAAAACAATTATATCAATACATGACTCAGTGATATGGTTTATTTTGGAAAACGCTTTAAAACTATTTTTTGTTATGTCAAATGAATCCAAAAATGAGTAAGAAACAAGGAACTAAATGCCTTTATGCTTTGTCCTAGCTTTCTCGTAAATTTTACAAAAGCAATGTCACATCTTTTTTGCCAAATCTTTCACATTAAACAAAAATCCAGTTGAATGTTTTAGTTTTTTGACGAAAATCGAAAAAAAAAAATATGATTATATCTAAAAAGTAGCCTAAAACATTTTTAACTTAATTTTAACAATAGAATTACTTTTGTGATTGTCCTAATTCGCATTGTATGCAATATTCACTAGGTTAAAACTGAGCTAACTTAAACATTGATATTTCTAAGGAAGAACAGATGAGATGAAAAATGATACCTTCTTCGGAATCGGTATGATATCTTTCTGATCTCTCATCCTTTCGAGCCACTATATTCCTTGAAAAAATAACTTTTGGAAAATTATTTTTCATCTCCCATCATTCATCGATTAATAATTTTCCATCATGATGTACAACACCAGCTTCAAGTCTCTTTTCATATTTATATTTCCTGTACAGTTATTCGATTTTCATCCAAAGTTCACGCTACTTAGTTCAATTTCTTTACAACTACCACATTTGTTTGCAATTTGTTTCAACTGTTGTGGATCTTAAAAGTTTTAAAGTATTAAATTTTCTAAAATTGAATTTTTTTATTATCCCTTTTCATCGTATTGTTTAGAAGTAGAATTAGCAAAGTTATAAAGTTGGGACTGTCAATCAGTAAATTTTCTTAAAAATCATTAGAAAGTACTAACCAGTAACCAATCTATTAGCCAAGAAAATGAGAACTGCTTGAGAAGGCTTC